ATATCCACTTATTTGTTAAATCATTTAAAAGAGAGAGAGAGAGAAAGAAAGAAAGAAAATTGTTGTTAAATGATTTTAATAGCAAAATTGAAGCCTTTAATTGGAAATAATTAATTAAATCTCTAAATCTGTGAATTAACAAATTTTAATATTTTACATAAATCATTATTGATTTTCATTCTAATGTTATCGATTGATAAAAAATTTATACCAAAAGTTTATAAATATATATTTTTGGAACATACATAATTAAAATAAAAACAAAAACATAGAAGTTAAATAATTAATTTTTTCAATTTTCCTTATCAAATTCTAAACTTATCATTTTCTAATCAATTAAATGAAGCAAAAAAAAGAAGAATTTTTTTCCCAAAAATTCAAAAATATTTGAAATTAAAATTTTTTGAAAATTATCAAAGAAAGGTAAGTAAGTGTTTTTGAAGTTTGTTTAACAAAAAGAAAAGAAATAAAACGATGTAAACAGATTGATTCATTTTTAAAAATGAATCAATAAAAGTGAAAAAGAAAGGATGAAAGTTTCGGAATATCTTTTATAAAATTATAAAGTAATTTTATTTAGCAATAAATTCCATTTACAATATGGTGGTGGTACTTTTATGGTACTTTTATGGGTGCAACCATTTTTTACCATTTCAGGTTTTCATTTTGTAATTTAAAAGGAAGAAATAATAAAAATGAAATTTTGCTAATTTTTGTAATCGGTGAAATAAAAATTGAAATAGGATATTTGAATAATTCATTTTGTAAATAATCTGATGAAATTAAATGAAAGATTAAAATATGTATGTATGTGTGTGTGTGTGTATGTGTATGTGTGTATGTGTGTGTGTGTGTTTTAAAACTGTATGAAATCCTTTTGCTTGAAAAGTAAGAAGGAAAAAGGGAAAAACTTTTTTAGTGAAGGAAGTAAAATGAGACATAGCCAATAGTGTGTATATGGTTGTTGGACATGACACAGACAGCTGAGATCTGCTAGGCTTCCAATCATTATCTATTGTTGGATTCTGTAGAGGAAGAAATTTCAATTTTAACAAGCTGTAATGTAAATGGCAGCATCATGAAAGAGGGAGAAAATTAAAAAAAAAACGAAAAGGAAGGAAGGTACTTGGCAAAGGAATTGGTAATTCTGTTTCACACTTTAGAGAGATTCTAGGAGGAAAGGGTAAAAGGGATCCGTGTAAATCGTGCCAGCCAAATAGATGAAGCTTTTCAAACGGTGAGATATTGGCCTGTCTTTGCCTTAGCTCATTTTTCTCTCTCTCTCTCTTTTTCTGGCTTTTCGTATTTTTCGTTCAATATAGCTTAACCATTTGACAAAGTGTATCGTTTGCTGTTTGGAATTCCCTTTTTTTTTTTTTAATGATAACCTATAAAGAGGCATGAAAAGGACTAACAAGCCTAAATAACACAATTCACATTTTCGAACGACAATTTACACTCCAGACTTCAGTATTCGATCGCAAGAAAAAAATGACAAAGTACAACAATGCAGTAATTCTATGAGAGCGCAACGAAATAACATAGCAAAGTTTTGCGAAAAGCCGCACGCCAAAATTTTATCAATTCACATAAAGCCTACACATATATACACTGCCTCAGTCTGGACATCGATTTATGATGGTGACATATGACAGCCAAGCCTCAACTCACTTCACCACTTTGTGCACACATACATACACATATATGTATATAAATAAATATATATATATACACATACATATAAATAAATACATGTATATCTATATCTATATAAATATAAAATCATTCCAAATCGATTCTAAAACTATCCTTTTCCTGAAGTTTTCCTAAAATCATATTTGTGGCTTTAGGCTGCTTAAATAGAAAAATCGAATCGTTTCGTTCCATAACATCGACTACTAAATTATCATATAGCACAATTTTTATCAGATAATATCAATGTCAAATTATCATAATAACATTATCATTTTAACATTTAAAATATATTGCACACTTCAAATTTTTCATAAAAGAAAAGTATAGAAAATAAAAATTTGAATTGAAAGAAAAAGAAAATGAAATTTCATTAAAATTCATCCTATCAAATGTTAATAATTTTTTGCAACGAATATATTTGAATAAAAATTAACGTAAAAAATCTCATGCAATTTTACTCGATAATTTTAATTTATTTTTATTGAAAATTGAAATATATATATATTGATAAATTTTATTATATGCCAATAGGAACTGAATAACTGAATTACTTGATAAATCTAAAATCAATTAGACGATATTAATTGATTGGAATTATGGGAAGTTTGCTATTATCACGCAAATTTCTTCGAACAACTGATAATTTTATCTGTTCGAAGAGAAAAGTAATAAAAGAAAAAGAACGAAAAATAAAAACAAAGTGTTAATTCAATAATTTTATAATGAAATTCTTTAAAAATTAATTTAATTAATAATTTAAACAAAAGAAAAGAAAACAATGAAATAAATTAGAGGAATAACAATGTACAAATAAGTTGTAAAAATAACAAATTGTATGATAAATATAACAATTTTGCTAATATTTGTTAATTTAATCTTTTTAAAAAATATTTCAAAAGGCTTTTTTTTTAATTACTAATTAATTAAGGATTTAAATTTTTTTAATCTTTTATTTTGTCTTACGTTTGTTTTTAACGGATACACTAACGATCGTATTTTCTGTCCAGCACATAACTTTATGAATTATATGAGTTTTCTTTTTTATCACTGATAAATTTAATGTTTACATTATTGTTTATAATATTGATAGATGGGAGAGAGGTATTTGTTATATGCTCAATGTCTTATCACTGTAAACGGTGCTGTCACTAAGATGAAGTTGATAGTTTTATATTCAATTGGTTCGTTTTATAATTTCGATCTCAGTAATTATTTTATAAAATTAATTGTTAATACCTTTTTTTTTTTGATACACATTGATTGTTTTAAATTAATTCTCAAACATTATGAGTAATTGTGTATTCATATCATTTCTTTACTAGTCTTTCAAACTTTTTCGTTTGTTATTATTTACATATTTAGGTTTAACGTACGTGATATGCGCTAATAATGATATACACCAGGTTATAGTATCAAATGATAGCAATCTAAAAATAAAACATTCTTACAATGAAAAAAAGATGGAAAGGTTTGAGTTTGATATGATTTGATAAAATAGGATTGTTTGTTTTATTTATCAAATTATATCATTGAAAATGAAAGAGTATTTAGAAGCCTTAATTAATCATTCAATAATTTGATTAAAATACTTGAAGAAATAATTAATAGAATTCTTACCTAAATATTGAAAAAATAACCTCGACGATTCTTTGCTTCCCCTGCCCTTCCGTGATATTATAATACATTTGTTGTATTACAACATTATCAATAATGGTAATAATTGCAAATATTTCAGATATCTCTTTTATGAGTACAATTTTTGGTCTGAGACACGAATTTATGAGGAAAGAACAAAATTGCATGAAAGTATTATTGAAATAATAAATGCAACTTATTCTTTTCATATCCTACATTATGATTCTAATGGCAAAATTCTTGGTCGATATCAGGTTTATCATTATTTTCATTTTTATATCAGATTTATCACTATCTAACTTTTATATCAGTTTTATTGTTATTCTTCCGTTTCCATAAAAGATTTATTTTCATTTAATTTTGTCTAATTTTCAACGAAATTTGTTGAAAATTTTGAAATTAATAAATTATAGCTTAAATTTATAAGAATTATTCAGCAGTTTTAAGATTTACCGTTAGAAATTATCCTATTTTATTGTTTTCATAAATGACAATATTGGAGGAATAATGAACGAGTAATGATAAGATAGTGATAACTTGTCGGAAAATAGAAATAATGTTAAATGATTTCTGATTAAATATGAGATGATGATAAGCTTATAAGAAAAAATGAAATATCATAAGGGAATAACTTAAATTTTGAGTAATCAATTAATTATAGATAACAAAAAATTGAACTGATAAGAAATGATTTCAAAACAAATTAAAGAATTACGGAAAAAATTGAAATGGGAAAATCTTCAATTAAGATTACTATTATTACATCTCATTACTTATGTTCATTTATTGATAAAGTCCCAAATTTCAATATAAATTCATCTTTTTGGAATTTCTAAAATTAGGAGATAAAAGATTTCATCTGAATTTTATTATTAAAAAACTAGGAACATACATGCGATACATGTAAATTTTGATTCTATAAGTTTGCTAAACAAAGTTTCAAAGACAATACTTGTATATATATATAGAAGTATTGTCTTTGAATAACTTCAATTTTTAGTAATCAATTAATTATTGAAACAAAGAAATCAATTACATATATATATAATTCAGTTCTTTATTATATATACATATATGTAATGTATATGTAATAATTAACTTAAAGATAATAATTGAAAGATTCCAATTAAATCAATATGATGCAAAATTTTTTACATTTTAAAGTGCAGCAAATAAATAAACCATAAATCATAATGTATTACTTATTCATTCCAAGAAATAATATTTTAAAATTAATGTAAGCCAATAATAAAATATTGAATGAATTAATTGATGCTAAAAAAAAATTAAAATAAACAAGTAAACAAACAGACAAATAAATAACTGATTGAAATAATTTCAGTTCCTGAAATGCATTAGTGGTGCATGTCAAGATGATATGCCGGATGTTTATGTTAGTTTTATCCAAGGTGGAAATAATTTGGAAGGACTATATGTGACACCAATACTAAATGAAGAAAATTGGAAAGTAAACTGGAATGTCCTTTTTGCAGTTGTTTATGCCACGATGACCCCGGCTAAAATTGGTGCCGGAGATGAGCAGAATGTTGTAAGTTATTGATTCTTCTAAATTATTTAGGATAATATTTAGGCTATTGAATGCCTGAAAAGAAATGAATAATTTTTTTTGCTTATGAAAATAATTAATAACTTAATTACTGGATTACTTAATGCATTATTGAGTATATTTTAGCATGTTTCTATTTTCAAATTTTACATTCCTCATTTTTAGTTTTGAGATTTTTTTATAATTTGTTCTAATTTCATTTTTTCAACAATTTATTAAAATTTAAATAAATTTTGAAACAAATTTCACTGCTATAATATCATAGGTAATTATCATATTTTTAAAAATGATGTATAAATTAAAATGATATGTATCGGATAATTAATTGAGAATTGAAGCGTTAAATTTCAAATCTTTTCAGAGCACTTTTCGTCGTTCATTCATTTCCAAATTTCAGATTACACCATATGGTTTATGCCATTATCGTTTTTCAAAGCCACGCGACAAAATATTCCGAAGGCAAATAAACCATTGCCAATTTGATGGTGTCCGCAATTTTACATCAATTAATGGCCTCACACAACATAACTATCAACATTCTGTTGTTTACATGTATGTTGCAGAAAAGCAAATGTTGTTTGATTGATGATAGTGTTTTCAATTGACTGACCACAGGTATCTTAAAATAATGTGGAATAAGTTAGCGGGAGATGAAAGAAATTCGACAGATGTTAGACGACAGCAGTTAGGGTAATCTGTTATGATTTGATAGGTTGACTTCTGAACGGTACCTGTGTGATCTATTACATTCTTAAATGATACCTTTGTAATCTTATATTTTTAAGTAACTTATTTATTCTATCGATAAATTATCTAACAATGTTATTTTTTGGTACCATTTATTTACTTCTTTATTATTTCATGATTGGAAACTTTCAAATTCTATATTGTAGGCAAAATACCAAATCAAATGCAGATATTATTGATATTGAAGCTGAAGAAATGATGAGCTTAAAGAGCTCATTAATTCCTGACTGGAACCTGATTATGGAAATTCAGTATGTTTATTCGAAATAAGCTAAGTATACGAGTTAGAATATTATTGCTTCCAATTTATATGTATATCCATAACATTTTAAGCAGTATAGATAACTTAATAGAGTCTAATCCGAAAATTATTTAAAATAACATTACAATAAATTACGCATAATGAACACTTCACTTGCCAGAAATGCATTACAAAAAGAGACAGAAGTAATTTGTCGTTGAAGTAAAATGTGGAAAGTTTAATTTTGAAAATGAATTATTTGGCTTATTTGAATCATACTGATATTGGATATTGAAATGGATCAAAATCATTTGATAAGATCATATTGATATTACAACTTCGTCTTTTTTTGAGAGTAAAAATGAAAATGACAAATCGTACCGTTTCCGTTGCTAAACCTTTCTGTTCAACGGAATTATTAACCGATGAATGCGCTCAGACTGTATTCAAAGCAAAACGAATGGGTAGAAATTGGAAAGAAATCAATCAAAAATTGAACATCGGTATTAAAAAAGAGCGATCAAAGGTTAATTTAATTTTGATCTCTCTTAAATTCAATAAAATTTAATCAAAAAATTTCAATCTATCAATAATCAAAAATCACAACTTTTGATAAGAGCTTTTGATTGATAAGAACTTTTGATATGATCTATTAAGTTAAAATAAGGGATACTAGTTGATAAATGATAAAAATGCTGTCCAAGAATATCTTTTGATTATTGACGGGTTAAAATCTTCACTATTGAAAGCTGTCGCAAAAAAGAAAAGCTTCTGATAAAAATAATTTTTTCATTTATACAATTCAAATAATAAATTTGGAGTGAACAAAGCCTAACCAATTTGTTCCTAAAGATGCGGGAAAAATGTGTGCTAATAATGGTTAGATGTAAATGTTGATGTAAGTGATAAAAAGGATACGGTAAATAATTAGCGTTCACTAATTAAATATCTATCATATTTTATATTACGCAACTCATGCTTTCATACATTCGTTATTGTTTCATGTATTAATGCGAGTGTATGCTAAAAATTAACATTAGGATAAATGCACCTGTCTCGTAAAATGTAAGAAAATCAAATATACCTATTAATTTCTTCTACCTAACAGAATGAATAATATATAATAGTATATGATATTTTTGTAAAATTTCATTTTAAATTTTAATTTCTATTTCTTTTATCTTTTTCTTTGAAAAAAAAAATTGTTATTAATTATATTCAAAAATTACTCTTATTTATATATCATTTGTTCTTAGTTATATATAATTTATTTTTTGCAAAATTATTTTCTTTAATTTTAAAACAATAAAATTAATAAAAAAATTACATTTTTAATTTTAGAAATGAATTACTTATAATTTTGTTATTTTTAATTTGATTAATTAATATTTTAAATCAAAGAGTAAATTGAAATATAAAATTCTTGAAATTTTTAGAAAATTTAAGCGGCGATAAAATAAACGAAAAAAAAAGGAAATTCTAAATATTTCAATTTTTTTCTTTACAGCTGAAATTTGTCCTGCAAAAAATCAACAACGAATTTCCGGATAAGAAAACTGATATTTTAGCATTAATTCTGAATAGTGTACTGTTCAGTACGGAAGAAGATTTGATGGATGCAATAAAAGAATTTAGGAATACTCCAGTTATGTAAGGTTTGAATTGTTTTTAATTTCATTATGAATAATTAAATAAATTCTTCAATTTTTTTTCAATGAGCTAAAGTAATTACAGTAAGTAATTACTCAATGAATTTAAAAAATATTTCGGTTTAATCTTATTTTCCAATTTTAATTGAATTTATTGATAGGCTAATATATTACAGAGTTATCTTCTTGATAAGCCTTATTATTGTAGGTCAATATTTGTGGATGCTATAGGATTAGCTGGTACAATGAAATCATATACTGCTGGCAAAAATGCTTTCACTACTGAAGTTCCAGAATTTCTCGAACGTTTCCTTCAAGCTCTCTCACAAACGACAAAGATTGATATTGCAATTATTAATGATCTCAAGGTTATATATTATCATTTCTTTTTTTGTTCAATTTATTATTTATTGACAGTAAAATTACAATCATTATTATTCATTGTGTATGCTTGATAATTAAATATTGACAGATAGTTTATAAAACAAAAAAAAATTGACGTTAATAAAATATTACTTTTGTAGATTTGGATGAAAAATGCAACTGATAAATATTATATGAAACATATAGCATTTACTATTGCAAATCTTTATCGTCGCTATTGTGATTCATCAAAAGATCGCAAATATTCATGCGAAAATGGGAAAAATGAAGTAAAAAAGTTGTAAATTTAAAAATTATTAAATAATACATTAAATGAAATAACATTTTAAATTTATAAAAATTATTTCAAATTTTCGAAATGCATAAAATTTCGTTTTAAGGATGTCAATGAATTCATCAAAGATATCATAACACAATGTATGGATAACGATTGTCATAAAAGTGCATTACAAATTTTTGAAAATTTACCATTATTAAAGTTTGTTTATAATTTCAATATTTGAAATTTTAATTTTATGAAAGTTTGAATTAGAAATGTTAATTATGAATATAGCAAACAGATTACGTATAGTTTATTCGTTTTCCGAAATCCTAAAATTATTTCTTTTTAAACTCAAAATTTTTTGAATTTCTCAAAAAATTTAACATATCAATTGTATATATGTGTAATTGAACTTGTTTTTAAGTTCAGATATGTAATTGAATTTATTTTTAAGTTTATATATTTCGGAAAACGAATAAACTATACGTAATGTTATTCGAATTTCTTTTTTAGTTTATATATATATTTGAATTACTCTTTTATATAGGTATTTGAGTTTCCTCTTAAGTTTATATATGTAATTGAGTTTCTTTTTTAGTTCGTATATGTATTCGAATTTCTTTTCTAGTTTATATATGTAATTAAATTTGTTTTTAAGTTTATTTATGTATTCGAATTTCTCTTTTAGTTTATATATATATATTCGAGTTTCTTTTTAAGTTTATATATGTATTCGAATTTCTTTTTTAGTTTATATATGTAATTGAGTTTCTTTTTTAGTTCGTAGATGTATTCGAATTTCTTTTTTAGTTTGTATATATGTAATTGATTTTCTTTTTAAGTTTATATATGTAATTGAATTCCATTTTTAGTTTATTACCATATGCAATTCAATTTCTATGCACTACAAATAATAATAATACAAACTTAGTACAACAAGAAGCACTACGATTCCTTCAACTTTTTGATGGCAAACATTTTCATTGGAAGGTATAAAATTATTAAAAATTTTAAAATAAAAAGAGAAAATATTTATTCATACAGTAATGATTTAATTATAATATATTTCAGACAATCAATAAATTACTTTCTATCTTTCGTAATACATGTCCGTTACATCAAACAATCACTGATCAAACTCTTGCCATTGAGGTATTGCTGAATATTTTACCATATAAAGAATTAATTGGAACCTATTTACTCAGGTAAGATTTTTCTTTTTCATTTTTCTACTATCTCATTCGTTTTTTTAAATTTTTGAATACTACAAATTATTTACAGTTGATAGAGTATAAGATACGGAATATTTAGTTCATAAAAGATAATGTGCAAATAATCTTTAGCGTGCTTAGACGTTATCATCGTAAGATGTGTTTCCGTTATACTAAATTATCCGGAATAAAAAGTGTTAATGATAAATAATGATAATATTTTAAATAATGATAAACTAGTAAATAATTAAATTAGAAAAGTTTGAAACCATTATGATAATTGCAATTGTAAAATCTTTTCACTTTTTTGCAAGTTATTTTATTTAAAATATGATAATATGATAAATGATAATTGCAATGATAACTGGAAGTGTAAAGTCTTTTCATTTTTTTGCAACTTGTTGATATTTTATTTAAAGCTCTTATTGTACTAATATTTATTCATAATTTGTTCTTTAATTAATGAATCAATTAATAGGTGTGAAGAACTTTTTCCAAGAGAACATGAAAAATGGATTTACTTTTATAGAAGTATTGCTCGAAGACGGCAAATTTCCCCTGATGTAAGTAAATATTTAAATTTAAATATGCCAACGTTATAAATTTAAATGCTAAAAAATGATGTGAAATTTTCACACAACTTATTACAGTTCAATTCATATTGGATAAAAATGCGTTCATTTCGTATATTTCAACCAAATTATGCTCATCGTAGTTTAAAAGCTACCTCAGATGTTTCTGCAATCAATATAGCAGGTAATTGATATAACTGATAGAATATCGCAGATCATTGATACAATCAATAAGATAATGTAAAAATTGAAAAATTTTGTTAAAATATCACAAATAATTATTCTAATTAATAAAATAACGTCAATAATTGAATAGAATAACAACTAGATAACAGATAATCAATAAAACAATATAATTAAATGTAAGATATAATAAATAATTGATATGTTTATCGTTAAGTAAAAGACAAATGAATGGGAATATATAATAATTCAATTATTAGAAGAAATCTCTTTTCGTTTTTGCCATTAATAATATTACGTAACCACAATGATACATGGATTTGAGATCTTTATTATATCCATTCTTAATTTTCCTCTTTCTTTCTTCCTCTCCTTCTCTCTCTCTCTCTCTCTCTCCCTCTTCTCTATCTCATGTATTTCTTTAATATTAAATTTTGAGAAATTTAAAAAAATTTATTTTTCTCAAAAAAAAACTCGAGAAATAATTAAATGAAAGTTTTAATTTATTAATGAAATTTTGATGATATTTTCAGAATTATTTTTTTGTTGCAGAATTCGGCAATAATAATAATATAACAATATGGATGAAAACAGTTAGTGATATGGGTATTTTATCATGGAGTGATTTTACAATTTTATTCACATCAAAGAAACATTCATCATTTCCTCTAATACAGGTTTATTTATATACCCATTATCTAGTTTGCTACAAATTATCAAGTTATCATTAAATAGAATTATTTCTCTTCAATTAAATCAGTATGATATATTATGCATTATGCGCAATATGAGCAAAGCATATATTAATGAAATTGTTAATCATAATTTTGATGATCCGATCCGATTCCTATTTTGCAATATTAAAATGAACAGAAAACGGTATGCAGTAAATAGGAAGATACTATTTGCGTGTGATCCACCATGTACTTCTGTTAATTTAATAAAATAAGTTCAAAGTTTTATTTGATACTAAAGTGCTGAATACTTGCAGCTATGTATTCTACATATATCCTAATTAATAAAATATGAAATATTTTAAGATGGTAATAGTATGATAAATTAAAATAGTAATAGTAAGATATTTTAAATAAATAGTACAAATTAAACCATTTAGTATGAGCTTGAAATTTATTGAAAATTTTTGAAATTATTAGTTGTTTTTATAATTTGCAAAAAAGAATGAAAAGAACTTAAAAGGATCCCGCAAAAATGCTTAGAGATTTTTCAACATTTTTTTTACACTTTTAAGTGTAACACTTATTCCCTACAGATATTCGTTGAAATGAAAGGATTGAAGTCGTATTTGTTGGACTCAGAAAGTTACGATAGCGATGAAGATAATAATCCTGAAGATCCATGGGCGATTGCTCAAATAGGCCTGTTAAATAATCGCAACGTTCCGGTAACAATTTTTGACGGATATGGAGAATTAATTAATGCCGTATGGAATGCTGATGGTCAAGCAATGCTTCTTCATGATGTTTGCCATTTCTCAATTTTTTAAATATTTATTATTAATTATTATTATTAAATATTATTGTTATTATTATTATTATTATTATTATTATTATTATTACTGTTTATTAAATTTTAAATTTTTCGTTAGATAATCAATCATTTGTAATTAATTAATGATAAAAAATTTGAGTTAAATAATTTTCAAAATAAATTTTCAATATTTTGTAATTTATTAAATTGCTAAATTCCTTTTAAATTAATTTCTTTTTTGCAGAAGAATCTAATCTTTCGACAATATTATGGCTTTGTACCATTGATGAGCGGTTTATCTACAACAATTGATATTACGGGTACAATAACAATTGATTTATATGGTTCTACAACAATAAGTTTATGGAATAAAAATGCTGGCATTAAAATTAATTCAACGTATGTTATCAATTATTTAATAAATTAAGACTTAAATTAAAAAATTCATCTTAATTATTTTATAGTTTATTAAATTTTTCATTTTCATCTTTGTTTAATAAAAAAAATTTATTATAATTTTTTCGTTTTATTCATTTCATACAGTGTATTAATGAAACTTGACGGAAGTATAAGTTTGGTATCATCGAATAATCTAATCGGTAAGGCAACAACTTCATTGCACACAACCGGTACGGTAAATATTCAGTTTGATGCCGATTTCTTTACTGTACCTCATTTGCTTTGCACAACTATTTCACATTCATCATTTATCATCAAGTAATATCTTTTCTTTTACTGACAAGCGTAAATTATTTAACTAATTAGGTGTATAACTTATGATTTAATATATTATCAACTGTCATATTAGTATTTTTTATTCCCATCCTATCCTATTCCGTTTCATTCTTTTCACCTCTTGCTATCCGGAATGATAAGAATTAATTCCGGAATAAAATTGATTTTATTTTTTCATCTTTTTTTTTTTAAATTCTATTCTCACACTTTTTTATTGTAAAAACTTTGTTGGATAATTTATAAATTATTTGAAATTAATTAAAAATTTTAATTATATATTTCAAATATTTTGTTAGAGAAAAAAAACATCCGAGAATGGCTCTAATTTGTTTACAAGATATTTACTATTTTTCTCTTTCATAAATTTGTAGTTTTTTAAAAAAAACAAAAGTATTCATTAGATTTTCTTGTCTTATAATTACAATTAAAAAAAATAATTAATACGACAACAAAGAAAAGTCAAATATTTTCTCTAACATTTCAGCTTCTTTTTCTTTCTTTTTTTAATTTAATTATATTATACAAATTTTTTGCTAATTTCTTTCTTTGTGAAACAATTAAAATTTAATTGACAATAAAGAAAATGATTGCAGGCATTCGTATACTTATAGTAGTACAAAGACTGAAAAAGAAAAACATATATGGAATAATTTCACGTTATCCGGTTCCAGTTTATGGTTGAACAAGAAAATATCTGATCATTGCTCTTTGTTAAATGCTTGAAAATAATTCCAATGTTTTGATAAATTTTAAAAATCAATTATATATATGGTAATGTTTAATTATATATGGATCATATATATAAATATATACTAAGATAGTAATTCGGAATTTTTTTTGAACTGTTACAAATACAATCATTGAACTGATCAAATTAGGTTTGTTCAGATCATCTTGAAGGAATGAGGATTTGGAGGAGTGCTAAGAGGTAGAAATAATGAAGCATTGTGGTTGATATACAACAATCACTGATTATCAATAAAATGATCACCATATTTTCATTTTCATAATGGATTTCGAACAAGTATTGGTGCACACACATACACACATATACACATATATATATACACACACACATAAGCAAACAGAAATTTCAAATTTATTAATTGTAGCGTTTATTATCATAATCATGATATTGAAAATATCATGATATTTCCTAGAATAATCACAATTTTTCCAGTAGTAGTCATATTTCTTATAGTAGTACATTAATCATAACGCTCATTATAATAATCATTACATATGCCATAGTAATCATAATATTTCCTACTGTAATAATCTGACATAAACCTGTTTTTATCAACTTATCATTGATTATTCCTACGGAAAAAATAGAGGTTAAAATTTTCTTACTTGGCCATAATAAACATTATAATTTTATTGTTCATAAAAATTTATTTTCAGTGAAAATGAAAAGGAAAAGAAGTTTGCAATCTTTTGAAAATATTTAATAATTTATCGATCCAACGATATTATCAACGTTAACAATTATTTTAAATAAATTACGGTAACTTTGTCGAATGAAATCTGACAAATATTAGAAATATAAATTAAATGCAACAATAACGAAATGGAAAACAAAGGAAACGAAAAATTATGACAGATTAATTTTTAGATAAATTTATTCGTTGTCTTATTTTGAAACTTTAATTGTAAACAGTAGACAGCTGTAAATAAAAATTCTAAAAAAAACATATAAATCAAAAATGAAAACTTTGATATTTTTCCAATAAAGTTACTATCTATCAAAATTGAAATCTCATCATAATTATCGTAAACAATCCTAAAATTCTTGCTTAATTTATATTTCAATTCAAGGTTAGTTCTAAAAGTTAATTATAATAATTGTAATATAATTAAAATTGAATAAATAATTAAAAAGTATTTTTTAAGTATTTTATTCGAAGTGTTGCTGAATGATCGAAACTGTCAAATAAATCTGTCATTTCATCAAAGTTTCGTTTGAAAAAAGCTAAAGCAAAAGAAATTTCGCATTTTAAAAATTATTTAAAGAAAACTGAAAATTTTCTTATTTAAATAATAAATTAATCATTTTGTTTTTTTGCATTTTCGAAAAGATTTCATTTGTGCAAAAGTGCGGAAAAATTGAAAGTTAAAATAATTTAAACTTTTTAAAAATTAAAATTGAAATTTTCTTTCTGCTTGAAATTACTGTATTAAATATGAGATTTATTTATTTAATTAATTTTCCTTCTTCCTTGAAGTAATTTAATTTTTCTTTTTTTTTTTAATAATATTAATTTCATAAACATAAACGTATAATGTTTGAAAATTCAATCAAACAAGGATGAACTTTTGTTTAGTTTAATTTGATTGTTTTATAAACTTTCGTACAATTCAATTTGATTATTTTACAAACATCAGTATAATTTAGTTTTATTGTTTTACAAACTTCGGTACAATTCAATTTGATTATTTTATAAACTTCGGTATAATTTAATTTTATTGTTTTGTAAACTCTGGTATAATTTAATTTTATTGTTTTGCAAACTTTGGCATAATTTAATTTAATTGTTTTATTGAATTTAATTTTTATCCTTTCCTTTATTTTCATATTGAACAATATACGAATGATATCCAATCAATCATTTACTGATAAATGTTTAATTTCTTTTTTTTCTTTAATTTTTATTATCACTTTCAAATACACTAATATCTGTTAAACAAAAAATGGAAAATATAATTATAGGATGGATGGATGGATCATTGTAATGAATTTCAAGGTTGTATTTTACCTTTACCTTTTCAATATATTTTCATTATTTATTCTTACAATTTTTTTTCCCATCAGAAAAATTTCACCTGTGCATTAAAATAAAGCAAAAAATAAGGAAAAGAAAAATTTTGAGTTTTATTCTTTAAATCATTTCTCATACATATCTTTATATGCATAAAAAGTGATTAAAATTGTTAATTGCTAATTAATATATTATAATGTTTTTATTAAAAGATAAGAAAAGGAAGAAATTTGATTTAAATTTTTCCAAATTTAACTTTATTGTTTTATAAGTTTCTGATTAAAAATTTGTTAAAGTTTTTAAATTAAAACACTTATAATTTATAATATTTGATATTGTTATATTTGTTGTAATAATTTTGCTCTTTCAATCATTTTCATTTATTTAACAAATGACTAATTCTTTACAAAATGTATCGTAAAGACTATAAAATAATAAAATTGTAATTAAAAAAATGTGCAAACAAAAAACATTCTCTTCTTTTACTTTGAATTTAATTATTATTATTAAGTTCATTTCTAATTGTTTTTTTAATTTTTTAAGACATAATTTTCAATAATTTTATTATTATTAACTCATTCCTAATTATTTTCTAAGCTTAATTTTCAACTTAATATTATTGTATTTAATTATTAATAATTAATTTCTAATTGCTTTTTTTTTAGCTCTTTTGGTTTAATTTTTATCAATTTAATTATTACTAATCCATTTCTAATTGTTTTTAATTTTTTAAGACTTAATTTTCAACAATTTAATTATTATTAAGTTCATTTCTAATTGTGTTTTTTTTAAGGCTTAATTTTCAACAACAATTAATTTCTAACTGCTTTTTTTTTAGCTCTTTTGGTTTAATTTTCAACAATTTAATATTATTATTAAACTTAATTATTAATAATTAATTTCTAATTGTTTTTTCTAATTTTTTAAGATTTAATTTTCAACAATTTAATGATATTATCCTAAAATTTGATAAATTTTTTTTCCACTATTTAAACAAAGGAAAAAAAAACGCAATAATAAAATTATTTAAAATAAACGAAAATTCAATTTTTTTTTTTTTTTTACCCTAAAAATTTTTCATATTCTTCCAAATCGCTTTTATACCACTCACTCCCACTCATCCATTCTTTTCTTTCTTTCGTTTTTTTTGTTAAACTTCTTTAGCGTTTTCTTTTTCTCTACATTTAATCTTTTTATTCTCTAACTCTCTTATCAAAATCTTCTCCTTTTCTTCCCTTTTTCTTCTTCTTCTTCTTCTTCTTACTTTAGTTCTTTTTTTCTCTCTCTTTGTTAAAGTTTTCCAAAAAATTAAAAACCGAAAGAAAATGCGCTAAATTGTTTTTTGTTCTTTATTTTTTTGAAAATGAAAATCAATTTGAAAATGTGAAATATATGTTTATTCTTACGTTTATGACAGGCTTTTTTTCAAATCTTTTCGTTTTTTGTTAAATATTTTTTTCGTAAATTTCAAATAATAATTTTTGTTTTTGTAAATTTAATTAAAAAGAAATTTAATAAGTAATAATTAGTTCTAAAACTTGTATTATTACTATTAGTTAATTATTTCAATATTTTTAGGATTACTATAAGCTAATTATTTCAATATTTTTTAGGATTACTATTAATTAATTATTGTAGTATTTTTAGGATTACTATTAGTTAACTATTTCAAATATTTTTTAGGAAATGATACGATCTGAATTTGTTATATGGAGCTGGAAATATAGCGTCGTTTCTATTGGATTAGTTAAATAGATCAATGTTTCTGTACTAACAGG